ACTACTCTGCTCTTTTTCTTTGTTCATGCCAAAAACTCCACCTTCTTTCTCATTTTTAAATTTTCACCAAAATTTTCAAAAAAAAATAGAAAAATAAAAAACTTGATCTCAACAATTTTCATATCGCGTCAAAATTTAAATTCCCGCGTGATGCTCATGATTGTTTTATATACGGTAAACAAGCTGAACGGGCCGCGCGCGTGCGTTTGTGTGCGTGTGTGGGAGGTTGCGTTGGTGTTAGGGACGGATGGAGTTTTTTTTTTGGTTCTGCGAGATGACGGAGGAGAGGGAGAAGGAGGGAATGAGAACGAGTGATAGTTTTGGGTTGTGAGTTCTCACGAGTTCGTTTGTTACTCGCAAACGTGGGTTACAATTTTTTCTCGTAGTGCTCCGTGATATTTATTTTAATTTTGTGATAGTAGTAGATATTTTGCATCAATTATTTTGTATATTAGATTTAATTTAGTGAGTGTTGTAGGTTTATCTTTTTTTATGTAGTGTTTTATCAGACGTAAGTTACAAGTCATGTTAAGGAAACATTTAATATGGTATTTTTACAGAGTAGATTTCTCTAGGAAGTATATTCATTGTCGATATTAAAATTCATGTTGATCAGCTGTATGACTGAGGAAGGACATAAATGATTTTTTTTTTTTATTTTTTTTTAAAAACAACGATTTTTTTTTTAATGTGAATGGGAGGTAAATTATCGTAAAAAAGTTTGATTTATGAAAAACATAAAAAGCATTAAAGTTTAACAGTAGCGTATCAATTATTATGTGAAATAGGGTTGTATATATTGATAACTATGAATCCCTTCATTTGAAAGTTGGAAATTTGCATAAAATTATGTTATAAAAAGTATGTTATTTTAACGACACATCTTTTTACCTTTGTCACTTGATGAATTGTGATTTCGGTTGCTTGCTGAACGAGCTTTTTTCAGCAAATAAAGTATTTGATTGATATGCTATGTTTGCTTATACAATGTGAAGAGATTTTAGAAATGATATTTTAATGATTGTGGAAACATCTTCGGATATTTGCGGAAATATCTTATCAGCAAATAAGATTTTGTCAGTGGCCATATTTAGCTAATAAGTGAATTAAAAGCTATAACACTATTTATTAAACAAGTGTAGTCAGGTATTGTACATGATGTTTTCTCATTTTGCTTTAGAATTGCACCTCCGTAAAAGCTGAACTTTGGATTTCGGTTTTTCGCAATCTTTTCGTAGTAACTTAATTGATTTGCTGGAATTTGATGTTTTTTCTATTGTTGTTTTAAGTAATTTGTGCTTGATGTCTATTTTTATATTACATCTTCAGATACAAACACTTCCTAAGCACTTCCTAAGTTTCCTTTTACAAAATTTCATATCTCATCGTAACGGTTTCTTCTTGTCATTTTGTCAATACTGAACATATTAGATTTATCTTTTTAACTTGTATTGTTACAACTGTCACTTTGTTTTCAATATTGGTATCTTGTATTAGTGTCCTTAGTGATGCTACATGTATGGTATAGGAACTTTATATTCACATCCCAGTAATGCTTGTTGTTTTATATATATTTTGTTTATATAATATTTTTTTTGTATACATTTATATATATTTGTCAATGAAGTAGTGATGGATGAATGTTGACATCTCAGAGTTTCTATTTCCAGTTCGCATTGTCAGCAATGTCAGCGGCAAGCGTAACAGCAAACATTGGTACTTCACAAGCGGCAGCATTAGGTGAACGTCAGTCAGCTGCGGCAGCATCAGCTTCTGCTTCGGTACCATCTTCATCTCGATGGATTTTCACCTATGAACAGCTGATGAGGGTTCCTAGTATTCGAGAAGGCATGTCACCGGAAGAAGTAAAATTTTCATTTCATTTTCTTTTTTGAAATTTCATATTTTTGATTTTGGCATTCACATGTTTTAAAATATTTGTTTCTTCAAGATTGCAACATTTCTAATGCTGATTTTTAATCCAGAACATGATGATGCTTTGAAATAATACAATATGAAGTTGCAATTTGTTAGCAAACTACAGATAATTTAGCAGAAATTATTTGTTTCTGGAAATATTTATTCGATTTTGCTACATTTTATTTTAAAATTTAGGAGTTAAAAAGGCGACGTGTATCAGCAAGTACAATCCATCAAATGGCTGACAGGCTAAATCACGAATCTCGAGTGCGGATGTAAGTTATTGTACTTTTTTCTATTCAGATTTCGACTAAGACAGGAGATTGGCGATTTTTTTGTCAAAACTAACTTATAATTTGGTTGTTTGCTTTGTGAAATCAATTTTAACTTTCGATTGGATTTAAGTGTTCAAGTATGGGGGCATGTAACTACTTTTTTTCACGAAAAAATGCTTTTGTAAAAATCATTAGGAAACAGGAAATCGGAAAGTTGTATTCGGGTTTTTAAAAACCATTTCGCATATACTTATAGAATCGAATTAGATTCCGCAATGTTAAAATTCAAATCGGTTTTTTTGATTTCAGATCTCAATTATGTATTTGTGCTGCAATGATGCATATGCATCGATTCTTCGTCTTTCATTCCTTCTTCAAGTTCGATCCACGGGTATGATTTGTTATAATAAGAGTTATTCATTTATTTTGATTGGGATTTTACGTTTTACTCACTTGCTAAAATATTAAAATTGACGAACTGCTGGAATTTTTTTCATAAGTTTTTGGTACAGAATTAAAATAGAGTGCTCATAAGTTCCTTTTTCTTCTACGCGTTACAATGTGTTAACATGAAAATTACGGATAGTAACGCTAAGATCATTAATAATAACTTTTCTAGGATATTGCTGCTGCATGTTTATTCTTGGCGGGTAAATCGGAAGAATGCCCTCGGAAACTGGACCACGTCGTGCGTATCTGGTGGGCCATCAAGTTTCCTCATTCACCAAATTTGGACAATAATGTTAGTGTTTCTTTACACTTACCTAGAATTCATACCTAGAATTTATTTGTTTGGTTTATTCCACTTTCTTGCATATTTATAATAGCAATATAGTATGAATTAGTCACAGTAGTTGAATACCTAATATCTTTTCTGCATGTGTTTACGAGCGGAAATTTTTTCGTAATTGTGGATTCTTTCGATAATTATAAATTAGATTTTTTAGTGTAAGGATAGTTGACATGCTCTGCTTTTATCTCAAACGATTTGCTCTTGTTAGTCAACTGAAAAATCTTACAGCGTCTTTATGAGGCATCGCAACTGATTGTCACATTGGAAAATCTCGTCCTGCAAACAATTGGCAAGTTTTGCTCTTTGTTTGGAGTAGCAACGATGCAATCATATTTTGTTATTTGCCTACTCAAATGTCGAAGTATGCGAAGACATTATGCTTTTGGTTTTGAAAACTGAAATTCAAATGCATTTAAACATCAATTTAAACTTGATGAGCATAAATGAAAGAATAGTATTGCACAGTTTTTCTCAACTGTACATTTACTCATGCAGCATTCGATTTGTCAGTGGACATACCGCATCCATACGTCCTGACGCACATGCAAAAATTTGCACGAGGTTAGTTTTATGATATTATGCAGATGGAGCTCTCCAACTCATAACTATGCTTTTTCTTATGAGGGAAATGATGGGGAGGAAATAATCATGATGAAATGCTGTACTGGTGCGAGAAAACTAAAACAATATCATCATATACCAGGTAAAGGATGATGCATTCTAATCGCTAGGAACATAATAGTAGATTGATATAGTGAACTGCTGTGATAATTGACATTTAATTTGGATGCTAGCGCATACCTTTTCCTAAATCATGAAAATTTTAACGTCTGTAATCAAACATTGCTTATGTGTAATCAATGAAATATTGATAATAGAAATCAATTGTATTTAAGTTTTGCCAAAACTGAATTATGCATGATATAGAAACAATCATAATTTGTTTAATAATATCAGTTGTTTTAGATGCTTCGGGAAACAGAAGAATATCGGAAATAGCTTATTGGTTTGCGAGTGACATGTAAATTTTCCTGATATTTTGATAATGAGTAATAATCATAATATGATTCCAGTGGTTCATGTGAAACCGTTCTAGGTGCCGTATGAAAATAAACGGTTGGAGTGAATAGTTCTCTTCATTGTTTTTCTTTTTTATATAGTGTTTTTTTTTTCAGGCTCCATATGACAAATTGGGGAGTACGTTATACGGCAAAAGCGATTGCGTGTGTTTGTATCCAAATGGCATGTCTTTGGGCAGAATTTGAAGTAAATTTTTACATTTATTTTTTCTTTGTATTCAATAAGGACAGAAAAAGTGAATTGTAACAGAAGCTGGGAAGCTTCTTTTTGTGCTTGAAGTGAGGACATATAGTTTTCAACTCGTGTTGCTTATCCCTTTTATTGGAGCTGCAAATTAATAGAACTAAAAGTTACTGCATGAGTGCTACTCCTAGCATTTAAATGATAAATAAATGAGCTTTTTTTTTCTTTTTAAGCTAATCCACTTTATCATACATTTACTGAGAAAAATAGGGATGCATGAAGAGCACAATTTTTTTTTTAGTTTTATTAACATTTAGGCATACACTTTCGGGATTTAGGATTTAAATATGCTTAGGCTTGTTAATTTATAAGAAAAAATAATGATATTTTGCAGGTAACTGCTGTATGCACAAAACCAGCAGCGAAAACATTGTCTTACCCATACATTTTAAATTTAGAGCTTTGAAAAAACGAAAACTTAGTTTTTAAGTTTCGAAAAAAATGATACGAATTCAGATGCCCATTTTGTTGGCTACTTTGTTGTGTGGTTGTATGCGTGGTGCGCAGCGTAAAAAATTATTCGTAGAGCTGTAATGCGTTACTTCCTGCATTCTGCAATCAGTATTGCGTCTTGCGGATGTATTAACGCAGATCAGTTTCGATAAGTACTTGAATGGAAAAAGCAAGAAACAACAACTCTTAGACTGTCTGTACTAATTGCTGCAAATCGTGCAAGTTTTTAGCGTATGTGGAATAGTGCTTGAGATTTGCACTTGATGTCGAAGAATTGGGAAGAGGAACAAACTTAGTGGCTCATTTTTTATGCGTTGCTATATTTTGAAGAGGAGGAAGTCACTGTAGTTGTTTCTGGTACCATTTCACTAGATAGTGCATCTCGCTGTAATTCATGCGCTTTACTGAAGGCTTGCACGATTGCGCAAGTTAATTATTAGCAGTGCAGATAAGATCAGTAAGAGTATATGAACTCTCATATAAACCACAAGCAAAGAAATAATCGGCCTTAAAATTAGCCACTACACTACAAATTATGAATTTTGGGAACACCGAATCTGTTTCTTTTTGGTTTGAATTATCAGTTAGCAGCTTTAAAAAAAACCATTTGGGGAATCTATCACTTCGCTTTGTTGGAAGGATTACACAAACATACAGAGGGAAAGAGAGAGAAATTGCATATCAGAAATTAAATAAAGGTAACTTTTACTGGCATTTTTCAAGTAGTTTGCTTTTTTCTTGCAGCTTTCCTATCATTTTTTGTTTTAAAAAACATCGAATAGAATACAAATTTTTGAACTTGAAAAAATTCATTGACACTTGTATATGTTTTCTTTACCTCTATTATGCAAAGTATTTTGAAGAATAAAAGAAAAGAACTTTTTAGATTGTTTCAAAAAGGTTTTTTCTGAAATTCAGATTAATGCACCACTTTTTATGAAGTTAAATATAATCTGTCATGCTCTTCCTGTCCTTTTCTCTGTCTCGCAGTATTGAAACTTGCATATTACAAAACATCAGTACATGATGCTATAAATTCTTGCAAGATTGTCTCTCTTGCTGAGCTACCAAAAGTTGGAGGGAAATAAGGGTAACAGTTTGTCTGCGAACCATTTTGATGCATAATGATGTAATCTTGGAAAAGTTATGCTATTCTCGAGACAGAATAATAATGCTACTGATTTGCAGAAAATAAAGAGTAGATATTAAATTTTTTGAAACAAATTGCTCAGTTATTGTACCATTTTTCTCTTTAGAAATTTTTTGCGCTATTTTTCAACTTTTTTGCACTGCACCTTAAATGCATGTTTTACAAATGTTCGAACAGATATGTTTCTTTTACTTCTAGAATACTTTTTCTCCGTATTATCATTGCGCTGCATATGTTGAAAATGAAAAGCTTAAAATGTGACGATGACAGGTTTGATGTAGGACGGCAATGATTATTATAGCACACTGGCCGGTTACTTATAAGTTATATTGATGTGTCAGTGGAAATATATTTATGTGCTTACATGTATATATGCAAGCATTGATGTGAAAAAAATTTGTGGAGAGGGAAAGACGGAACATGATTTAGAACTATCGGAGATTACATATTTTTGTAAATTTTGCAGTTTTCCAGCACGCTACAGTTCTTTATATAGTTTAAAATACCGGAGTGTCATACCACTCCTGAAAAGGGCTGACATTTGATATTTCTATATTTATCATATCTTTGTATTGGTAATGTTTTTGGACTCCTCTAATTATTATTTGGTTTTTATTTCTTTTTTGTTTTTTTTCACGTTATATATGAGTTTTTGGCAGATGCGTAATATCGGTGTGTTCTTTTTCTTGAAATCAAACTGTTTCAATTTATTTAAACATTGAAATTTCTTGTTTCATATGAAGTACATTTATTTTCATGCCTATTTACTGGAAGCAAAATCCGTTTTTGAATCCTCAGTGTGCTTCCAGTCTTCATTTTTTTAGAAGAAATAATTTCAGGTGACATTTCAGGGAGTTCAATTTCAGATTCAAACAACACCCGATGAGGCACCATGGTATAAACAGGTTGATCCGACAATGACGCTAGACAAATTATTGAGTGAGTTGTATTTGCTTTCTCGGATATCTTATCTTTTAAGTTGTACAGTTCATTATGATAATGGATTTGCTAATTATTTGTCTGATTTTTTCATTGATCTTTTGATTTATTTTGGTACCGACCTATATAACAATTCAGTGACAAGTTTTTTCGCAATCAAAACCTTCGCTTCCGTTTAGAATTAACTGAAGAATTCTCCCGTATTTACAAGACGCATGGCGAGTCATTGAACATCAAGAAATATGCAATGCGTAGTTCACTAAGGGAAACTGCTACACCACAGAATCCCAATCAGTCTCAGCAACAATCACCACAACAACACTCATCACAACAACCACGGCAAGGACAGAATCGTAAGTTATTTTAAGTGATTTCTAAACTCTAAAAATTGATGCTTTCTGATAAAGTATCAGAATTCGTTATACTGGTGATTTGAAATTTTTGGTCTGAAGACCGAAACTCAAACATCGTTTTGATTTTTAGTCTTGAAATATTTCAATTATGTGTACAAGTCGCTTCAGAGGTTGCACCATCAATCGCGACTCTACCACCGCCTCCGGTGGCACCGCAGCTTAATATAGCCGTGGCTGTAAAAGGTGCTGAGCCAACTCGGCGGATCGACCTCAGTGATTACAAATTACGGAATAATGGTCAGAAATTGAAAATGGCTTAAAATCTTACAAAAATCATCGGATTTCAACTGATAACATTTCTATTTTTCCCATTAAATATTGTTCGATGTATACTGAACACCTATCTAAAACATCTCCCAAGACAAGATAAGCCATTATTGAAACCCTAGGACTTGTCTATATAAACACAGATTGATTAAAATAGCAAGCATTGATAAGCATGATTTAAATTTAAATTTTAAATTTTTGATTATTTTCGTAATTGTTTTACAGCAGCGCAGCAACAGCAGCAGCCGAGCAATTCACAAAATTCTGCAGCGCAAGCTCAACGAAGAAATTTCATGCGACCTGATGTACTACCACAGACCGTTGCTAAAGGACTGGATTTATCGCTTCCTCCAATTATTGCAAATGGCAAGTTTGATTGCATGCATCTCAAAATGTATTTTATAAACTTTACGATGTCAGTTTGGCTTTATGTTGAATAAATATATTTTGTCATTCAGTCAAAGAAAGGAATATATTTAAACTAACGCAAAATAGTTTTTTTCTTTTTTTGTGCATTTGTGTATGTATTTATTTATTTGTTCATTTATTTGTTCTCTATCGTTTCAGAAAAGCAATTAAATCAGAATAAACCCGATCCAGTTAAGCCAAATGAAGCCAAAGTTGTCCAAATGTCAAAATCTGGGACGCCAAAACCGACGACTTCGCAAAAACCAGCCATCACGAATGCTGTGAAACAGTTGCAACCTATGAGACAGCCAGCGGGGGCCATTGAACAAGAACGACATAAAAAGCCCAAACTAGATGATTACGATAAAGATTTGAAGCACAGAAGAATTGAGAAAACGAATGCAGAAGGTGAATTCAAACGAACTTTTGCGTAATGCCTTCCAAAAATTTGCAACTTTGGGACCCTGGTTGATTTTTGTCATAATAATTTGAGGTTGAAAGTTTTTTT